CACTTTTACTTCCCACATTAATGACCTCTTGTATCAACCGAAAACCATGCCTTACAAGATGTCTGTTCTAAAAGAGTGCAACATAACTTTTTTTGTTGTTGTTTTTGTTTGTGTGTCATTAAAGCTCATTTGCTTCATATTCAGTTGTAAAGAAACCCACACATTTTGGACTAAGGTTTTCAAAAGCATAAATAAATACATTCATTCTGCAGTGTGTGTGGGGGGGTAGAAGTTTGTAATCTCTGGCATTGACGAAACTTGGTTGTTTAAGTGCTTGGCTTGCAATCTGTTGGTCATGGGCTCAAATGTTATCATCAAACATGCTTACCCTTTTATTTTTGAGGCCATTACAATGTGACAGTTAATGCCATTGTTCACTGGTAAAGAGTAGCTCAAGAGTTGGCAGTGAGTGTTCTTGACTAATACAGATAGTCATCAAACAGCTTTGAATGAACTTTACCGATAGCAAAGACAAAACTTCACTCTCAGTAAATAGTGACAATCAAATAGTGTAATTTTAAGCAAAGTTTGATGTGTTATAGTGGCTGTTGACAGTAACTTTGTACATTGATGTATTATAGTGGCTGTTGACAGTTACTTTGTACATTGATGTATTATAGTGGCTGTTGACAGTAACTTTGTGCATTGATGTATTATAGTGGCTATTGACAGTAACTTTGTGCATTGATGTATTATAGTGGCTGTTGACAGTAACTCTGTACATTGATGTATTATAATGGCTGTTGACAGTAACTTTGTGCATTGATGTATTATAGTGGCTGTTGACAGTAACTCTACATTGATGTATTATAGTGGCTGTTGACAGTAACTTTGTACATTTATATATTATAGTGGCTATTGACAGTAACTTTGTACATTGATGTATTATAGTGGCTATTGACAGTAACTTTGTACATTGATGTATTATAGTGGCTATTGACAGTAACTTTGTACATTGATGTATTATAATGGCTGTTGACAGTAACTTTGTACATTTATGTATTGTAGTGGCTGTTGACAGTAACTTTGTACATTGATATATTATAGTGGCTGTTGACAATAACTTTGTACATTTATGTATTGTAGTGGCTGTTGACAGTAACTTTGTACATTGATATATTATAGTGGCTGTTGACAATAACTTTGTATGAAAACAATGCTTCAGAACCATACATTAGTTCAAATTCACATACTTTTAGCCTGATATCATTGAATCAATTTTTCCTTTTTTGCTAATAATGGTTAGAAGTATTAGAAGAAAAAAAAGGCACATTCAAAGCTTTCTAGGACTAATTTTTAAAAGAGATGCATATTTTTTTAATAAGAAATCCATATTGTGGGTGTAATTCCACTACAAACCAAGAAACTAAACTTCAGTACATGTTTTGTTACAGCTTTGATGGTAGACACTATGATAACTTTTTGTTAAAAACCTTGGCTCTTGTGGAGAAAAACTTCTGCTAAGAAACTATTTTCACTTGTTTCTCTGTCTTATCGTTCTGCGTATTTGGCTGTTCATTTGTTGAAAGATTATATATAATGCCAAGAATAATATTTATATATTGCTTATGAGCTGAACATGGCCTAGTATTTAGTGCGAAGCAAATATAGTTAACCATATAGTTGACAAAGGCACAGAAATTAAAGAATGGGTTACAAAATTGCCAAGTTTTATATATTTTTGGAAGATGACGTTTCGAGCTAGCACTCTTTATCAGATCACAAAATTTGGTACAGTGTTTTTGTTCCGAGCATTACAATCTGACAAAGAGCACTAGTTTGAAACATCATATTCCAGAGATAAAAATATAGGAAACTTTACGATTTTATAACCTGTTCTTTGATTTATTTTTAGTGCTTAGCATGCCCAACTGCAGATTGGAAGACCCAATATTGAAATTTTAATATGCCACTGAACATGCTCTGCTCTTTCAACTGTAGTGCATTATGAAGGTGACTGTCCATTTTGCTCTTTGATTAAGGATAACGGTGTAGATGGCGAATGCTGCTGTCTGATTTCCCTCTCTTTGGTAAAACAGTCTAAATTAATGCCAGTTATGCTCATCTATTGCATAAGGAGACATTCAAGTTTTAGATACTCTACAATTATGACATTTTTATGATTTTCTTTACTTAACTCTGTCTCGTGTATTGATTGTGTTTAATGAAAGATAACTCGTGTTACTCGATCCAGATGACTGATCAGATATTTGTGGCTTTACGTAGGTTACAGACATGAGGTGGGCTCCTGAAAACAACTTTGTTATCCAAACAAGTGAGGACAAGTCAGTTCGGTAAGACTATAAAATCGAGTGTATGTCCAGCTGTATTTATATTTTAGTTCTTTATTGTATTCTCTCAAACTCTGGTCACAGTTTAGGAAAATATTAAATAAAAAAAAATCATGCTGGATATTTTTTTTATTAAGGTAACGGCTTCAACTATAATTTAAGATACTGTTGACTTCAAGAAACATATCAGGTTATAATTTTGAGATTATATGTTCTGTGTAAAAATTATTGTCTAATGTATATGTAATTGATAAACTTGTGATTAGCAACCACGCTTCGTTTGTGAAGCTCTTGTTGGTATTTCTTTATCTGTAATCAGTAACTATTCATCACTCAATCTTAGTTTTTTTAAATGGCATGTAACAAGAGATCTCTATCATTCGACTTTACGGAAACGGTTAATGATTGTAGATTTAGGAGAAAAAGTTTTATAATTCTTAAGTAAAATACTGTGAAGTTACATTAAAATGGTTGTAAGGGAGCTCACTTCCTGATCTCTGTATGAGTTTGTTTTTGAATACTTTTTCTATTTGACTTTAAGTTTCATGATAAATTTTGTTTCGATAAAGTACTCAATTTATTGTTTCATACATTTGATCAAATGAGTGTGAGAAATTTTTTTAAAAAGATAATTTTATGTAGTTTTATTCAGTAAAGTGAAAAAATTTCATTTTATGAGTGTTATTACATTAATCATTTGCAGTTTAGTGAGTTTAATTGTTACAATAAGTAAGCTGATAAACTAGACGAAAACATGAGAACTAAGTGAGGTTATAGTTTCAGGTCCGTGATCTAAAAGTAAGGTTTATTAGACAAAAGCATGACAACTAAGCGAGGTTATAGCTTCAGGTCCGTGATCTAAAAGTAAGGTTTATTAGACGATAAACTAGACGAAAGCATGAGAACTAAGCGAGGTTATAGCTTCAGGTCCGTGATCTAAAAGTAAGGTTTTTTAGACAAAAGCATGACAACTAAGCGAGGTTATAGCTTCAGGTCCGTGATCTAAAAGTAAGGTTTTTTAGACAAAAGCATGACAACTAAGCGAGGTTATAGCTTCAGGTCCGTGATCTAAAAGTAAGGTTTTTTAGACAAAAGCATGACAACTAAGCGAGGTTATAGCTTCAGGTCCGTGATCTAAAAGTAAGGTTTTTTAGACTTAAAGTGACACTGTTTCGGCAAACGTGCTCTCTTCCAGCTTCAACTTTTTTGGGTTAATACAAAGTGCAGGGTTAAAAGGCTAGTTACCACAGTCTAGTATACTATTCTTTTAAATCTGTTTCAATTTTCAAGCTGTTATCTTATGTTACAGAAGCAAAGAAAATAGACTGACAAATCATTGATGAGTTTGATGTTGCAAATCAAATATTATCCATGCATACATAATTTAATATACAGAGGGCTAATGTTTGGACTGCCCTGTATGAATAAGAATCTTCTTTTAAGACTATTACAAGTTAAGTACAGGACTATTAAACTGTTTAGGACAAATAAGGAAAATAATTTTCTTGTAGACAATCTATTTTTTTGTTACATTACTTTTTTCTTTACAAATGAATGATTGCAATTTTTGTAAGGGAGAAAGAATTATGGGGTTGATTATTCAACCAAATGATCTTTGTGACGGTAGCTCCATTTATTTTTTATGTTAAGTATGTGGGACAGTAGGACACTGGAGGTGTGCAGCATTCTTGGCAAAAAAATGCATATCCAGTCTTCGTGTGCCATTAGTAGTGACAGCAACTTTTGTGTAACTACGAGTGCTGGATTTTCATCGGAAGGCTGTGAAGTCACAGTAAGTATAAAAGTATCGCTTTATTCACTGCTTTTTTTTTTTTTAAGTTTGCTTCATTTTTTATATCTATAAAGAAGATGATTATAATATCGCTTTTGTAATATAAGTATTTGAATTATTATAATAAACTGTCTCCCAGACATCAGTAAGTCTACAGATTTAAAACGTGGGGGACACAGCATATAGTACAAGATGGCTTTGCTCTTCAAAAAACAAACAAATAATTATAAACTCTTTAACATGTATATTTTTCTGATCTGTTTATATAATTTATCTTAGAAAACATGTTTTATGATTGGTGTCCTTGCTGATATGCGTCACACACAGATATTTTATGGTGTAAAGATTTTGAATGTTTTTTTTTCTAGGTATTTGGCTGTTCATTTGTTGAAAGATTATACATAATGCCAATAATAATATTTATATATTGCTTATGAGCTGAACATGGCCTAGTATTTAGTGCGAAGCAAATATAGTTAACCATATAGTTGACAAAGGCACAGAAATTAAAGAATAGGTTACAAATTACTACTTGTGTTCATCGATCAGGGGTGTAAACACAGCATACTTGTGTTTATTGATCAGGGGTGTAAACATAGTGCTACTTGTGTTCATTGATCACAGTTGGTATAAAAACAAAGTAGAACACAAGTTTTGCAATGAAGTATTTGTTTTTATTTTATTGTGTGCATCAAAAATAAATCCTATTAAGCTGTAAGTCCTAACTCGTGTGTACACCCTTGGTGCTGTTTAAGGTTCAAGATCTACTTTTTCTTTGTTAGTTATAAAATATCGTATAGAGTGCAAACGTTTATTTTCTTCTTGTTCCGTGAAGTAAAAAGATAATACCGAGAGCTGGTTAAAACAAAAGATTTAGACACCATGAATATTTCGTGTCTGTCAAACAAATGACATTCCTAACAGGCACTGACAAGTTCTTGTCACGTGGGATCAACGTGCATGAAATGCTATTATTTACTCTTCTTACGAAAAATCTGTTTTGGTCTAGAAAAATAAAAGTATTAACAGTTTTATTCTGATATTACACTTAGTATCACAAAAGATACCAATTTTTTCCAGTTTTGGGACGAAACATTAAAGAAATTCAATTCTTTGGTAAACTGCTAGGCTAAGTCTCTTTGAATGAAGTTTGTTTTTATTGTTGGGTATACAAAGCTTTATAAAGTCCTAATTTTACAGTTTAGCGTTATTAAAATATATAAATTTGGCCTTGAAAGTGTAAAACTAGTACTTTATCGTATATATATACACATATATTTTTTCTTTCCAAAAAATCCTTGAATAGATTTAGTTCTGTTTCAGCAACAAAGATGACTTTCATTCATGGCAGTCCCTAAAGAGCCTAGAGACAATGAAATGTCAACTGCTTTAAGTACTTTTAAGTTTTGTTTTTTCCATGCAAGGTTTCAGCCACAGCTATTTTCAGTTATTAAACAGAGAACAAATTTATGAGTCGGATGTTAATGCAGTTTTTGAATATCCAAAATGTAACAATTTTTTCTATCTTATTTGAATTTACTGTTCTGTAAACATTTATTGTAGCGTAAGCATCCAAGTGTATATCACAGATTGGATTTTACTCTCCTGTCAGTTGTGGGATCTTCGAGAACGTCGCCTCGTCGAGGAGTTTAGAGAACATGAGCAGGCTGTGATGGCATCAACATTTTTACCATTGAAAACTGAGCTAACCAAAAGCAGTCAGTACCATTTTGTTTCCGGTTCTAAAGATGGTATGATCTGTTTGTGGAACAAAGATAAAATTGGTACGTTTGAAAAAAATAGTTATGTTTGCTCATTAAATATGCTTTATGTCTTTGATTCCTTTAATAAATGAAACGTAGTACTTAAAATAAAAATGAAGTAGGTAAAAACTTTGATTTTTATATATATATATATGCTGTTTTTCAATTAAGTATGCTTTATGTCATTGATTCCTTTAATAAATGAAACGTAGTACTTAAAATAAAAATGAAGTAGGTAAAAACTTTGATTTTTATATATATATGCTGTTTTTTTATGTCTGTAAAAACAACGTCCATAATACAAGTACATAAGGATGTTCTTGTTCTTGATTCTTCAAACTATCCAAGTCTTGTGAGAAAAAATCTGTTGGTTCTATTCAAAGAAAAATATGTTTGCATTTACATGTGTGTGCACAGCTTTGAGTTAATATTTTTTGTCCCTACTACAATTAATGAAAAATAAGAAAGTGTTATGTTTTGAACTACGCACATACATGAATGAAACGTGTCGAAACTGAACTGTCATTAAAGAACAAGTAATAAAAAGCTTCGCAGTAGAAATGTGTTTTGATATTTAGTTGATGATGTTTCAACCTAGAGGACTGGATCGTCATGAAGTTATATTCTTTTACAGTTGATAAGTATTTACGTTGATTGTTTTTTTTAATTATAAATTGGTTAACAGTAATTAAAAATTATGAGGATTGTTTTAGAGTTAAGTCAGTAAAAGTAGAGAGAAGATCTTAGATATTAAAGTTTTGTACTTTTGATCAGCATTTTTTTTTTTTTCAATTTTTCCATCTGTTCAGGTCGGTTTCTCTACGTATAATATTAACATTGTCTTGAGATGTGACAGTTTTTTTCATTTCCTTGAGATAAAAGTTAGTTATTCAAACACTAGATACTTCGTCCAGTTTGCGATTGGGTTA